AGGATCGAAGTACAATGACACACAATGATATTCTCTTCAAGAACAGTTGATTCATAAGAATCCAATCTCTTCGAAAGAATTTCAAGCTTGTCGATCGATGTCGTGCAAATGTTTCCTGTTCTTCCATCGATAATTTTTTTTTTAAGGATTTAAGATAAAATGATAACGCGCTAATACGTCGAGCAATGAGTCATCAATTTTATACACAGCGATATATAATATATACATAATTCTGTCTTGAATTTCTGTCTTTTAATAAAAAATATATATATAATTTTGATAAAGATTAATAATATTAATCCTATATTATTATTAGGTGTAACTAAAAAGTTCTGAGCTACTTTTTTTTAATAAAATTTCTAATTCTTTAATTCTAAAAACAACTAAAAAAATATTAATCAGCGAAATATTTCCCGTTTGCATCAACGACCTTTTTACTATCTTTTCGGGTAGCTTAGCGAATTCCTTGATAGAAATTCACCGGCTTCGACCTTTTACTATCTTTCGGGTAGCTTGCGAATTCCTTGATAGAAATTCACCGGCTTCGAAACGATAAAGTCATCAATGCATTTTCGTATCTCTTCAAATCTCACGAAATATGTATCAGCCAAATGATGCTGCAGCGACCGGAATAGGTAGTAATCGGAAGGCGCCATGTCTGGGCTATACGCCGCGGGAGAAGTTCCCAGCCTAACGCAAAGATATGATCCTAAGTCGCTTTCGCAACATGTGGTCGAACATTGTTATAAAGCAAGATCTTTACTTTACGACGTCCTTGGCCAGTAAATGGCTTCTTTTCTTCTAATGCATCGCTCAAATTGGTCAATTGTTGTTGGTAGCGGTCTGCCGTGATTGTTTCATCTGGTTGTAACAACTCGTAATACAACACACCTTTCCAATCCCACCAGATACAAAGCAAAACCTTCTTGGCGTGGATATTGGGTTTTGGCGTCGATGTCGAAGGTTGAGGGTCAACCCATGATTTTCTACGTTTAGGATTATCATAAAGAATCCACTTTTCATCGCCTGTAATGATTTTGGGTAGAAAATCTTTTTCCCGGAACTTTGAAAGCAAAGTGAGTGCAGTGTCACGCCGACAATTTTTGTTGTCTTCGGACAATTCATTGCGGAACCCATTTGCCTTCCTTCTGAACCTTTCTCATCGTAAGTAAACGTACGGAAATGATTTACTGCGTAATGCCAAGCTGTTCTGCAAGCTCCTTTTCAGTTTGCGCAGAGTTTATATCCAGCAGTGCTTGCAATTCGTCCGTTTCAATCTTTTGAGGGCGTCCAGCATGCGGTTCATCTTCAAGACTGAAATCTCCTTGGCGAAATTTTTGATACCTGATATCTTTTACATGTAGTATGACTTATAGCGTTCTCTCCATATGCAGCACAAATCATTGCAGTGGCTTCAGCAGCATTTTTCTTCAGATGAAACGCGAAGTGGATGGAAAATCGAATATGCTCTTTTGTATTGCCATCGTGAACATTACTGATTTTTGAGATTATGTGCATCAAACGCCAAACCGTATGGCATCTTAGAAAGCCAAATGTCAACGCTTTAAAACCGCAAAAAAGCGGGAAGATATATAAAATTAATTGTTATTTCGGTT